GGAAATCAGTTTTTATACCACATAACAGATTACAAGGTCTTGAATAATCAGGCCCCAGTTTATGTTAAAGACCTCATAGCACCCCATTAGAGCATTTTGCCATCAGACTACTGGCTCAATTGTGGTGCCTAGGATATTTAAAAGTAGAATGGGAGACAGAGCCTTCAGCTTTCCTTTCTGATAAAGCATAAAGTTAGAGCTGGATGAGGTGACCCTGAATCCTTTTAAATAAGGCTAGGCTGCTGTGGGGGTTTCCCATAATGCACTGAGTGTTTTGTCTTCATTTACCTCTTCTCATGCTCTCCGTTTTTATACACCTCTCTGCATTTAGTCATTCATTATTATTAATCTCTGGCTCGCTTCCACAGTGTGTCTTTTGTCTCATCTACCTCCTCTCACCTCCAACCAATCGCAGCAGATGGCTGCCCCACCCTGAGCCTGGTTCTGCTGGAGGTTTCTTCCTCTTAAAAGAGAGTTTTCCCTTTTCACTGTTGCCAAGTGTTTGCTCACAGGTGTTTGTCTGCATGTCAGGATTGTACAAAATAAAATGGGAAGGAGCCCTTGTCCTCCCCACTTCCAGGAAGCCTTTATTTAATGCTCAAAACTGACCACACCCTTGTTCAAAGCCAGGTGTGGTCTATGGTTTGATGTCAACCATAGACGTGCAAAGTTTCATGACTGTATCTTGTACAGTTGCAACATTATGTTACTGAAAATCTCTGTTCACTGGAAACAAATGAACACTCAAAGCACCTTGATGCAGGTAAGGAATCCCAGAAAGTTGATTCTGGATGAAAAGAATAAAGACACTCTGTAACCCTCCCAATCCCACCCCTTAAAAAGCACTAGACTGATTTAAATCTGAATTTGGACCACAAGGATGCCAGGATGTGGCCACATAAGACAAACAACGACTTGACCTGGGTAAACTCTGAATCCAAATATTTAGCCCATAAAACAGGATCAGCACACTGCGCTATTATGTAACAATCACATCATCTGCTGGCTGCATAAATGTAGGCCATCCTCTGGGTTAGGGCTGAACGATATATCGCATTTGCGATAATATCGCGACATGATCAAGTGCAATTTTCTAACCGCAAAGGCTGCGATTATACTGCGATTATATTATACAATTCATGGGCTGCATCCTCCTGAGGCCGCATTTGTAGACAGATTACGTCACAGCGACGCGCCGAAGGCTGTCCAAATTACTACCATATCCCAGAATTCATAGCGCGGCCCAGCCAAACTCCAGTTTCCAACAATGGCGGCCGCTACTAAGTTTTAAAATTACTCATACTAATCTTTCTGGGTCACAAAATAAACTTTTAACATATTTTCAGGCGAGAAAGTAGTTGTGTAAACATCAAATATCTGCTCGGTTTATCAAGATATCCCATATTTGCAAAAGTGCTTCGACGTTTTCAGAGGCGTCTGCTACCCACCAGCTCGACAGCTAGCCGGGAGCTCGAGGGTTACTGATGCGGCCGAGAACGGCACAACTCCCGGCACATCATTTTCAGATCACCGCGGAGTTTCGCTGCTCGGGTTAAACGTAATATATAAGTCACTTAGACAACCTAAAAATGTTATTGTTGGGCTTTTTTCAGTGTTTTGTTTGTTCGTGAGTAAATCGGTTTGGCTGAGATTAAAGTTATTAGATTAGATAAAATAAAACTTTATTAATCCCCCGGGTGGGTTCCTCCTTGGTTTTCACACAGCTGACTAAACGTCAAACAGAAAACTTATTAAACAGAAGTATGAGACAGTCGAGAATTTACACCAGTGTCTGGTTATATTTTAGATAGCAAGAAGCAGACGGCCGAGTTTATTAAACTCCACCGAGACAGCGGTGACGCTAATCAGAAGGCTAGACCGTCCAATTTCACGCCTTTAAATTTTAAAGGCGTGTTTGTGTGTGTGTTTATACAATTGCTATTATGTTTGCACTTTATGTGTAATGTTACTGACTGCAGAGATCAGTAAGATGTGTGTATTTTTTATTTATTAGTTTTATTTATTTAATATTATTTTTTAATTGAATGACTGTCTAGTAGTTCACAGATGTCGAAAAACTGAGTGTGGTAAAGCCACTGATTTTGTTTATGTATATTTCTGCAATCTGCACATTGTACTGACTTTCATTTTAATGTTTACACCAGGGTTCCTTGTCAGCACTTTATGCTCAGATGTTTGTAAGCTAAAAATAAACTATTGTGTATGTTCAAATATACTGTTGTGATTGAAGAAGTTAAATAAAAATGTCAGTCATCAATTCATGCATCACCTCATGTCATCATAACAGAGGTCTGTCTTCCAGGAAAGAACAGTTTAAAATTAATGTAATATAGTATTGGCCATACTATATGATGTATTGCTTGTCTTTGTTTAATAATACAGAAGACAAAGACCTTAAAAAATAATCGCATATCGCATCGCAATCGCAATATTGGGGCAAAAAATCGCAATTAGATTATTTTCCATAATCGTTCAGCCCTACTCTGGGTACTGAGTTAGCCTTGCTAGGCTCAATCTGAACATGCAGTGTGAGCAGTCTAACGAGCTAAAAAAGACTTTCAGTTTTCCTGAGAAGATGACATGTTACTGCTGATGTGACTGCTAAAATGAGGAAGCTAATGCCAAGCTAGTACAGCGTGAAAACAGGTTGAGAAATAAAAAGGTCAAAGGTTATAAAGGAAGGGAGAAATAGAGAGGAGAAGGAATAAAAGAGGGGAAAAAGAAAGTGCCCTTGTGGTATTCATCAAGTGTAGATGTGCAGAACAAGATTTCTGTGTCGGTCTTCGGTGATGCATCATGTAGCGCCTGTGTGCTTCTGGCCTTTAAAGAAGAAAGACTGTTGATGCACTTTCACTTGTTGACTGACAGTAAGACTCACACAAACACACGAATCTAAATGAAATGTGGCGATGAACAGGTGTGTATACAGGACCAGCTGAGGAGGAACAGTTGTCCGTAACAGCCTCGCCTGCCCACGTACTCATACACTCTCCGCTAAGCAAGTACGGGGGTGGAGGGATGGCAGCCCAGTACAGCTACTGGTGTCTAACTCACTATCTCACATTCTCAAGAAGCCATCAGTGGATAATGAGTGTTAATTTAACACTAAATTTAAGGGGCTGTATTATGCCCATGACAAATTACTGTGCTATAACACAACAGCCTCGAGTAAGTCGCAGTTGAAAATTGCTGTATGTGCAGTTTAGATCCAACCTTTGCTCGTCACGTCCGGTTTCAATGACATGACAAACATTACGTTTGGGGGGTGGGGGGGAACATCAGCTTGAAAATTCAAAAATAAGACTTCACAAACCAACAGGTGGCATAATGGTAGCTACATCCATCTTTTAGACCAGGGGTGCCCAATCCCGGTCCTCGAGAGCTACCGTCCTGCAGCTTTTAGATGCATCCTTGTTCCCACACACCCGAATCAAATGAATGGCTTGTTATCAGGCCTTTGCCAAACACGATGGCATGCTGAAGAGGTAATCAAACCATTTGATTCAGCTGTGTTGGAGTAGGGATGCATCTAAAAGCTGCAGGATAGTAGCTCTCGAGGACTGGGATTGGGCACCCCTGTTTTAGACCATCCATGGTTTGAAAAGCAGGTGGTGGGCCTTATATGCTTACAGCCAGAAACAAAAATTATGGTTCACATTTGCAGCCTGCATGCATAATGTCAGATAGAAACAGTGTACAAAGTATGTGATAGAACAGGTCTTGCTTGTGGTGTTGTTGGTCCATTTGCCAGCCACAGAGAAGATCCACTCTTGTCCCCTTCCCTTCACAATGTCCACTTGACGCATACGTCGTCCGATTCCATCAACGATGGAAAGAGCAATAAGTGCAAACCCCTTTTCCTCCATGTCATATTTGCATAAATTAGCCTAGAGTTGTGAGCCTGACATGACCATATTTGGGATCTCCGCTGTCACTGACGTCATACAGAGCAAAGAGGAGAAGAAAGTGTCTGAAAAAGAGCATTTCGAGCACTCTAAAGTATGTTTTGAACATACATGGACCTCATGGTCTGAAACTTTGGCCATGTTAATATGAGCATCAACCACTGTAACAGCATAAAAAAAAGCATAATTTGTATCAAGAAAAAGCTGCCAGGTCAATCAGCGAGGATATTAATCATTAGCTGCATCTTCAAGGACAAACGGACTCTATAATGGATAATACTAAAGATTAATCTGATACATTTATTTGTCATAACAGCCGTATTTGCCACTTTGATGGCAAATTGAAACAATGTTTCATTAGGACTGAAACTAACAATTATCTTCAGATTCCCTTAATTCTGCCGGTTATCATTTGATGAAAATAAATAAATAAAAACTGTTTATATATTTTGTTTAAATTATCAGACGAATAGCATTAAAAGTAAATCATAAATCTCAGCAGCGATTTACGGGGCAAGTTATCGGCCACAATCACATACCAGTTAAGCGTCGCGCCAGACTCCCATTAACACATCTCTGCTCAAGCGATTGCCTGTTTACATAAACATCACAAACTTTGCAAGAGACATTTTACTATAAAAACGCAACTCGACAATTAATTCGGCACCCATTCAGTGAACATATTCAAACTTAATCCGGTTAAAGCAAACTTTTAAAACTAACCAAAATCCACCCATCACATTCCCACGGAGTCACGCTCAATCAGAAAACAACACGGTGCTGCGCAAACCACTTGCAAAAGTTGATTTTTCACTAGTAAAGATGTGTTTGAGGATATTTTTTAAAAAACCGAATTGACCCCGACAACCTTCCTATTCAGGCATCAGCGGGTCAGTGTTTGCATTGAATTCGCTGTGACTTTTCCCCTTTACATAAAAGCCACGGGTAACATAACGGAATCTGGCACGGTCATTCCATCACTCCTCTATCCAAACCGCCTACTCCCAACTGACATTGCCTCGATGTGTCATTTCACCCAACTTATACACTTGCTGCTTAAATATGAGCATGTACCTGGACATAGTTGCTTTCGCAGTACTCCGCGACTCTTTCCAGGTTGGTAAAACTGTCCAACAACGCTCTTCGTCCCGCAGGAATTTCCTCCTCCAGCAGCATCTGCAGCTCCGCCATTTTTACATGGCTTTTACTACACGGCTGCAGCGCGCGCTGAATGGATGGATCCTAGCGCCTTCAGGGGCTGTGCGGAAATCTCATTATTGTGATGGCATGAAGAAAAGTGAGTGAGTGGAAGTGCTCTGAGGGACTACCAGGCACAAGTGTAGAGCCCACAGTCGTAAGGTGGGGCCATGATATTGTTTCGTTTGACTGTTTAACCTTCTTTTTAGGGAATGTTAATCAAAGTCACGCAAAACATCTCGGAAACGACTACAAACTCTTATGAAATACATGCAGGAGGTGATGCAAATGATGACGGCAAAAGAGGCAAAAAGAGCTCGGAAATATTACAATGACTTATAAAACAGCTACAAACAAACAAGGCACACAAAATGACATCAAAGGGATACACAAAAGGATGGCTACAGATACATCCAAAGACATGCAAAGTGACTTCCCAATTACAACACAAGGCATCAAAAATGCTGTTGTGTATACAAATTGGTATAGGCAAAATGGGTAAAATGACCACAAACAGAAAACACACAAAGACACAAAAACTGATGAGAACACAAAACACAACAGACACACAAAATGACTTCACAGACAAAACTGCTAAAAGGTGCAAACGACCATAAGCAAAAATAGAGGAATGAAAATAATACAAACATTTACAAGTGGAGTACAAACACCAGAAAGTATTTTATGCTCTTCTGGCGCTTATTCCCCTGCAGAAGTATCAACCACCTATCACCATATAGCCTTTATTAGTTTATTTGCAAAATCAGTTCAAACACAAAGCTACATTATACAACAACATAAATGAAATTAGTAAAACAGACTTGGAGTCAAAGACAGAGACAAAGACACAGTGAGAGAGAAGGTTTTCAGGCCGGAATCTCCAGGTTCTCATCTCCTCTCGGGTATCCCTCCACTTCCATTGTCATCAAAAACTCTGCAAAAGGAAATCCAGACCATCAGCTTACATTTCTACAAAGTGCGCACACACTGGCTTGATGACATGTGAATGTCTGCCTCGTGTTTTAGGGTTTGAACATGTTTCACTTTGCTTCTATCTAGTGGTGATGTAAAGAATGACACCTGGAACACAGCAATGCATCAAAAGTATTACTTTTATACTTTGTACAGCTACATTTAAATGAAAAAAAAAAAGTGATGTGTCATTAATCCTTCAGGCTACTTGGTGTATTTGGAGTCCAGGAGACTCCATGTGCGTGTGCTGTGTGGCCAAAACACCTGGCAAATCCTACAGAAGCCTTTTACGATTTCTGTTGTTGTAGTTTTATTACCATGTTTTTAGTTTATTTCACTGTTTCCACAGGATTTGAAGTATCATTAAAGTTTCCTGTTTGCTCAAGAAGGTGTCCCCAAAGTTAAGTAACATCCCTCTGTGTGATTTTTACATTTCAATTTCTATAAAAAAAAGTTTTGTAGCTTAAAAGGAATACATATTTGTTATGAGCAATAGTGTATTTTTGTACAAGTAATGCAAAAGACCAGAGAACTGTACTTAACTACATTTGGTTACTTTCATCACTGGATGATGGAATGTCTCAAGTCATATCAGGTTAGTTTTAGCTAAACTTGCCTTCTGTGTAGTCGATGTCCGGTCGTGTGGAGACGACGGCCCAGGCCACGCCCACCAACAGCGCCACCACCAGGTTCACCACAATCCACGGCCGCAGGATCTGCTGCTCTGAACCAGGAGGCCTGCAGGACATGAGGGGTTAAATAGCAGTTATTATTTTACCATTCCATGTCAAGATTGAGTCCTCAGGAGGGTTTTCCAGCCATGATAAGGAGAAAATAGCAGAACTCCAAGTTAAGTTTAATAAAGGTGCAATGGTGCCTCAGGTCTCAGTGTTGTTAAAAGGAAGATGTTCCTTTTATGTGGAAATGTGTGAATGTTTTCTGGACACTTTTGGTTTTTAAAAGAGTTTTGTTTTTAAATCTGCCATACAATTAAAATGTAAGTATTACTCAATATATAGAAAGATATTCAAATTAGTTTCATCATGGGAAAAAACAACATTTGACTACAATTGCCTGAAAATGCCTAAAAATGGCTAAAAATAAACTTCTCATACACGTTTAGTGTTCTACTAGAACCACAGAAATACTAATAAAGTATTGTATATAATGTAAATGTAAAACACCTGCTTTTAAACCATCCTGCATCAGATATTTCCTTTTAGCCCTTTAAGCTCCTATCAGTTTTTAAATTCAGTTGCCATGTCAACCTTGAACTTTTTGTGGAAAGTATTGCTTTCATCTGTTTTCCTCTTTGCTTTTCCAAGATCACGCTAAAAATGTTGACTTATAAAAATGAAAACAAAAATCTCACCACAGAGTCTCATTGGCAGTGGGATACAGGTTGATGCGATCGCTGGCCATTTGCTGGCTGAGGGACAGGATCAGGGCTATAAAATACACTGAGCACACAAAGAGAGAAGATGTTTGGATACTTACAGGCATTTAAAAAATAACATTTTTTCAGTTTTCTATGAGATCCTGTGAAAAACCAGTAAGAAAATAAAAAATGACCAGGTCCAACATGCCTAGGTTCATGATTCATTAGCTTTAGATCTACCTTAACCGGCCTTACAGTGAGTAATTGTTTTCTCAATGACTTTATCAGTCTCTAACATTGTTGTGGAGGAATTTTGGCCCACTCTTCTTTAAACCTTGGATCTTTCAAATTTGTAGGCATTTGTTCATGCGCAGCTCTATGAAGCCCCACAGCATTTAAGTGCGAATGAGGTTTGAATTTGCTGCCAAGCTGGCGATCATTGTTCTTTTACATGACCCAGGGTAAGCCAAATATTACCTGTCAGACAGATGACTTCGCCTTTGAATACTTTGATATGCAGAGGCGTTCATGGTTGACTCCATTAGTACAAGGTGTCCAGGTCATGACGCTACAAAACTAGCCCAGCTCAATATCCTTCCACCACTGTGCTTGACAGTTAGTATGAGGTATTTGTGCTGATATGCTGTGTTTGGTTTTCTCTAAACTGTCCTTTGTATTATGGCCAAACATCTCCACTTTGTCTTGTTTCAGAGGTCCTGTGGTTTGTTCACATGTAACTTTGCTAACCCAAGCCGTGCTGCCATATCCTTTTAAGAGAAAAAGAGGTTTCCTCCTGGCAAACTTTACTTTTACTTCTTAAGGTTGCTAGGAGAACACTGAGATGTAGCTCTTGGTTTTCCTGCAATTTTTAACTGCACAGTCTGACCGTGGGGGGAATTTGGTGCTATGTCCACTCCTGGACTTTGGAATGACAGACCAGCAAATTGCTAAGGCCTTGATATAATTGAATTAATCAGGTGCATTTGATTAGCAGTACCTGGGTCCTACTTACGCTTGTAATTTCTATGGAGGGAGTAAAGGTGTATTCTAGTTTTTTTACAGGACTGCATAGTCCTTAACTACATTAAGGCCTTAACATCAACATCGTCATCATTCTGCTTTTGTCTTGTCTTACTTACAGAAGGAAGCCAGAGCGACAGGATCCAGGGTGAGGAAGCCTCTCAGGGCCATGGAGGCCTTGGCCAGGTTCACTCTGCAGATGATGCAAAACAGCAAGGCTGTTACTTTTCATCTTCTTATTTATTCAAGTCAACAATTCCTGTCCAGCGGGAATTTGGACAATTATGAGACTATTTCTTTCAATTGCTGGTGGAAATACAGGTCTCCAGTACATGTTTCCACCAAGTGCAGATTCTTAATTTCTTTTAAATTATAAGAGCAGTGAAATTTGGGGATCGTTAGTTTAACATTTGAGATGAGGGCGATCGTGGCTCAAGAGTTGGGAGTTCGCCTTGTAATCGGAAGGTTGCCGGTTCGAGCCCCGGCTTGGACAGTCTTGGTCGTTGTGTCCTTGGGCAAGACACTTCACCCGTTGCCTACTGGTGGTGGTCAGAGGGCCCGGTGGCGCCAGTGTCCGGCAGCCTCGCCTCTGTCAGTGCGCCCCAGGGTGGCTGTGGCTACAATGTAGCTTGCCATCACCAGTGTGTGAATGTGTGTGTGAATGGGTGGATGACAGGTTGTGTAAAGCGCTTTGGGGTCCTTAGGGACTAGAAAAGCGCTATACAAATACAGGCCATTTACCATTTACCATGAACAAAATACAAGAACAATTAAAACAATAAGAGCTGAAAGATATAATGTAAAAATGCATAAGTTGAATAATTAAAGATTCTTCAAAGATAATTAATATGACATGATAAAGTCCACAAACTGAACCGCACTCCTTTAAGTAGCTTAAACAATGACATGGGTTCCACCTCCGCTTCGCAATGAGACTGCAGAGGTAGACTTCTGAGTTATTAAACTCACAAACCTGTCAAATGCAGACACAGTGCTGATGGCCAGCAGCAGGTAGAGCAGAGACTGAGCTGGGTAGGCCAGCAGGTGGTACTGCTGCAACAGGTTGGGGAGCGTGGTCATCTGCTCGCCCGCTAAGACGTACACAACAATGATGTTCCACACTGCGAAGCCGGCCAGAAAACCGTGGCAGAACAGACCTATCACCCTGCAGGTGGAGATCACACCACAGGACCACGTTAAACTGGTTTCATGGCAGCTACTCATGCTACTCATTGAAAGTCTTTGTTTCTCTGTGACAAAACAAGAGAAAAGAACTGCTGAATTGGTGTATTTAGGACCACTGCAGTATGGTGGCACAGTATGTGAAATATTTTATATCAGATATACGTTCACCAGACACTTCATTAGTTACACCTTGCTAGTACAGGGTTAGAACTCCTTTTGCCTTCTGAACTCTCTGAATTCTTTGTGGCATTATTCAACAAGGTGGAGGAAACATTCTGGTCCATGATGACATGCTGGTGCACATTTCCTATTCCAGGTGCTCTTTTGGTTTGAGATCTGGTGACTGTGAAGGGTATTTGAATACAATGAACTCATATTTAAGAAACTAGTTTGAGATGATCTGAGCTTTGTGACATGGTGCATTATTCTGCTGGAAGCAGCCATTGGAATACAGGTGCACTATGGTGATAAAGCCATGTTTAAATGATGCTTAGTTGGTACTAAAGGGCCCAAAGTTTGCCCACATACCATTACTCCATCATACCCAGCCCAGCCGAACCTTTGATATAAGCAAGGAGGGGGTCCATGATTTCAAATTCTGAGCCTGCCAGCCTGTCACTAATACATACTATACTATCATACTCAGACCAGTC